ATCGCAGCCTTGCGTGTGTGCTAGCATGCCATGCGCCCAGCCATCGCAAGGCTATGCCTTGCTAGCATGCTAGACACTGGCGCAATGCATGGCCTAGCACTGCTCGCAAGCATCCCAGCCATTGCATGCTTGCTTGTGTGATGGTGCCTAGCTATCGCAGCCACGCACCATGCGTGCTAGCTGTGCTAGGCATCGCTACGCACCATGCGTGTTGTGCCTCGCATAGCAGCGTCCAGCACCACGTACCAAGCAGCAGCGAGGCATTGCGTGCTGGTTGGCCTTGTACTGGCTGGCTGCGCATGCATGCTGGCTGTGTGCGTGTGGATCGTATAGCAGCGCCCAGCACCACGCACCAAGCAGTAGCGAGGCATTGCGTGCTGGCTGGCCTTGTGCTGGCTGTGTGCGGGTTGGCTGGCCAGGCTTCCCAGCCTTGGTGCTAGGCGCCAGCTGGCAATCTTGGCTGGCTGCCAGCCAGCCACTTGGAGGGGAGGGCCGGTTTTGCTTGTGGGGACGAAGGGTTAGAGCTTTGCCTTGGGGAGCAAGGCTATGGGTCCCCCCCTTGGAAATGGTCCTCATCTAATCTCTCATCCTCTTTGTGCCACTTGTAACTTATTGATTGAATTGCAATTTTAATTTTGTTTTAATTAAAATAAAATGAGAAAATTGCAAATCTCCCACATTGATTGTGAATGGGAAATCAAGGTTCATTTCCCTATAAAAACCAAGGTTTTGGGATTTGGGAAGAACACTTGAGTAGAACTAAAAAGGCATCTCCTTAGAAAAGTGAGAAAACCTTAAGTTCGTAAAACTCTAGTTTTTATTGGTCGGGTCCCGACTAACCTTCGGGACTTGGACGGTTTGGGTCGGGTTCGTGGGTACGAGCTGTCGGAGACCTTCACATTTGCGGGGTTCAAGTTTTTGAAGTAAGAGCTTGAGATTCGAGTGAAGCACTCGCCAAGGGTATGAATGTCTTTTCCTTCTCTCTTAATTGTTGTTTAATTTGTGATTGCATGCTTAGTCGCTTTAATTAGTGTGCGCGTCTTGGGTGGGTTTCTTCTTCTGTGTAGAGTCGGACTTTACGAAACGCAACAATTTCTTTGGTTGGCTGATGTCTTTATTTTGTTGGCTGATATGTATATTTTAATTGTTGGCTTATATGTTTCATTGTGTTGGCTGATGTGTTTATTTTGTTAGCTTACCTGTTGCTTTTGTTTGTTGATTTCATCCTTTTGTTGGCTGATATGCTTCATTTGTTGGCTGATATGTTCCGTCTCTTGGCTGATAAGTACCTTTTGTTGGGTGATATATTCCTCTTGTTGGCTGATATGTATCTTTTGTTGGCTGATAGATTTTCTTTTGTTGGCTGATACGTTTTTATTAATGTCTGATATGTCCCTAATATTGACTGATATCAGATATCAATTAGCTAATATGTTCATTTTAATGGCTGATATGCGTCATTTGTTGGCTAATATGATTAACTACATACAAGATATTTTCATTTCCTTCTTTATCCTCTTTCCCCCTCTTCCCCTCTTTCTCTCTCATTAAGAACATATAAGATTTTGTGGCAATTTGTGGCTGATATCACTACTAGAAAACAGGCCATTTTCGACGGAAAAATTCCATCGGAACTGGTTGTCGGAAAACCGTTCGTAGGAAAGATGATTTCCGTCGGAAACACTTTTTCGTCGGAATTGTTCCGTTAGAAGGGAAATTCTGGCACCTGAAAAATTCCGTCGGAAATTTCCGACGGATACTGTTCTGCCGGAAAATTCCGACGGTATTTCTGCCGGAAACTGATTTTCAGAAATTAAAAAGAAAACGTCGTGCCACCACCGGCACGGCGTATCACCACCTTAGAACACCACCACCACCACCGAACCTTAATCGAAAACTAACCCAAATCAGCCAAACCAGCCACCTAGCCCAGATTCACCAACCACAACCACAAAACCCTAACCAAAACTAACCCAAATCACCCAGATTCACCTCGCTACCTAGCCCTGATTCACCTCGCCACCTAACCCGTATCTCCACCTCGTCACCCCCACAACCCAGATCTACCAATCCCTTCCCACCACCACCACAACAAACCAAATCGAAAAAAACGAAAAAAATCCAGAACACCCAAATCGTAAAAACCAAATCGAAACAAAAACCAAAAAAATCGACAAAAACAATTTATACATTACATAGTCCAAAATTCAGAAAAACCAGATCTACAAACTTACATTACAATTTCATCAAAAAATAATTATAATCACAAATTTTGTGAAAAATAAACCTAGATCTACAAACTAACCAATATTTAACCAATATTTTTGGCCTTCTATGGTGCTTGACGGTGGACGACGGTGCTTGACGGTGCTTGACGCGGTGGCTGGTTGTTGAAGTTGTTGTTGAGCGGCGGTTGGTTGTTGAAGGTGACGCGTGGCTGGTGGAAAGAGGTGACGCGAAGCATGGCTGGTTGTTGTGGTTGTGGTTGTTGATGTTGTTGAGAAGAGAGAGGGGAAAAAGAAGAGGAGAGAGAAAGAGAAAGGGGAAAGAGAAGAGGCGGTGAGGGAAAGAGAAAGGGGAAAAAGGAGAGAGAAAGAGAAGGGAAGAGGCGGTGAGGGAAAGAGAAGAAGAGAGAGAAAGAGAAAGGGGAAAAAGGAGAGAGAAAGAGAAGGAAAGAGGCGGAGAGGGAAAGAGAAGAAATAGGGTCCGAATCTTAGGGTTTTAAAAGATTCTTTTTAATTAAATTCTGACGAACAATATTTCCGTCGGAAATTGTAAATTCCGACCGAAATTTCCATCGAAAAGCACATATATTCTGACGGAGTAAAATTCCGTCGGAATTTTCCGACGGAGTAAAATTCCGTCGGAATTTTCCGACGGATTTGTTGACAGAAAATTCCGACATAACATAAATCCGTCGGAATTTTCGCTTTTTCCGACGAAATTTTGTGTCCATTAGAACCAGTTCGCCGGAATTTGCCTGTTTTCTAGTAGTGTATGTTCTCATTAATAACAACAAATCACCAACAGAACCACCACCACTCTTTCCTGCCGTAGCCACATTGGAGCCCAGCTGTAGCCACGGCCAGCCGCGCAGCCAAGCAGAGTGCCCAACCACGCGAACTAGCAGCGATTCGCACGCGGAGTGCCCAACCACGCAAGCCAAGCAGCGAACGCCACCACCAGGGATCCGTCGCCGCCGCCGCCTCCTCCACCACCAGGGATCGCAATTCTTTCCTCTACTGTCGTCGCCGCCTCCTACTGTGCCATACCCCTCTTCGATTCAATAGCAAATTTCAAAACAATAGCCCTCCTTTGGAGTAATTATGAATGTTTTATGCAATTGATGTGAATTTCTGATTTTGATTTTGATTTTGATATGGTAAAAAGAGGAGCGGAGGAGATAGAAAGAGAAGGGAAGAGATGAAGGAGAGAGAAAGAGAAGGGAGGAGAGTTGTGCTACACAAACAATTGGATGCGGCTTAGTTTGTAAATGATAAAACACATGTGTATTAGATTAAAGAATTTCAAAACAAATATAAAATGGTTTATTGCGATTTGCGGTTTAATTTGGTTTGATTTCAAATTTTCAAGAAACCAAATCTAGCCATTTGCGGTTTTATATTTCCTTAAATCAAACTATAATTTTGAAGCCATTAACCAAAATTAAAATACGATTTGGTTTGCAGTTTGGTGCGATTTAGTCTAAAGATTAAACACTCCAAAGACCCTAAAACGTCTACACAATCGATGATATCACGACATACATTGCGAAATTAGTTGCTAACTACCCATTATTCCCGTCAAAAGATTAAAAAAAAAAGAAAAAAAAAAGAAGTACTTAGTACGAGGCCTTCCAAAAGGAGGTTAGTGAAATATGAGTAAATGCATAATGAGGGGCATGGGGGTCATTTCACGTAAATGCATTTCTGAATTTAGAGTAGTACCATTAGGTGATCAATAGTATCACTGGATGATCAAATAATACCATTAAACATTCAGTGACACTATGTATGTATGTAGTGCTACTATATATTCATTTAGTGGTACTAACTATGTTTAGAAATAGTACTACTACTTAGTCAATGGTATTATATAAGATTTCAGTGATACATTTAAAAGTGATCCAACTTACTCATCTCTCTCCTCCTTTCTCTCACCCCAATATACTTTTCAATATTTTAGTATTTATTATGCATTTACAAATGCATAACAAACCTGCATAAGTAATTCCTCAGTAATTAATTACCAAAGTTGAGCACGACAATAACTCATTGACCATTTGTCACCGACTGCAGTACTGTACTGATGGAATGACGTTACAACTTACATACTTGATCAACACTGTATTTTACAAAACATACAGTAGTATCAAATTCCGTAATTTCTGCAACTCAAATATTAATTCTGTATTTCTTTTTAAAATTTTTAGTATCCACAGAATAAAAGATTTACTAACATCATCAAAAAATATGGGTCCACATGATTGCAATTAACTTTCTTAGCTCTACTTTCACTCTCACTCACTCACTCCAGTTTTTGCTCTACTTACCGGTTAAGTATCTACTTTAGTTTTTGTACTTGGTAGTGGTACTTTTACTTTACTCACCACTAAACACCAAAAAAAAAAATAAGGAAAAGAAAAAGGAATGTAATCCTTTTACCCTTTCACACAATCATTATCTTTGGCCATATATTGCGCCATCTTATTTCACTTATTTCATGGAAAAAAAAAACGAAATAAGTTTGAGATTAGTCCAATTAAGATTTAATAAGGATTATCTAAATTCAATCGCAATCAACAAATTTATATCATTTTAATAAGCTTGGATAATTTATCATGTAAGTACAAAACAAGTAAATAGAATACACCTTATTACCTTTTTTAATCAAAATATGATCAATTCAAGATGACAACCATATTATCATCATAGTTTAAAAATATACAATCTTTTCTAAATGGTATATTCAAATACATTAAATAGAATATCACTCATGATCTTCCAAATTAATCATAAAACCCCCCTGGTCACAATTTTGTATTATATGCTTTAATTATTGGAGTATTATTTTTTTATACAAAGTATATAAAGCCCACAAATTATAAAGAAACCCATTTTCCAAAACCCCATTCTCTAGCTAGTTCATTCTATTCTATTCTAGTATTCTCCAAACACCATCCAATGAAAACCCCTATATTTTTTCTCCTCCTCATTTCTTTCTCCACCATTTTCCCTCCCAAACAATGCTTAAGCCAAACTCAATCACCCATTAAAAACATAGTAGTCCTAGTCTTAGAAAACAGGTCATTTGATCACTTAATAGGATGGATGAAAAAATCCTTCAACCCAAACATCGACGGTGTAGATGGTACCGAGTGCAACCCGGTCTCCACCAAAGACCCGGGATCAAATTCCGTCTGCGTCACCGATGACGCCGAGTACGTAGACCCAGATCCAGGGCACTCCTTTGAAGAGGTAGCAAAACAAGTGTTTGGGGATAACAGCAGCATTCCTTCAATGACAGGGTTTATAGAACAAGCACTTTCAATGTCAGAGAATGTTTCAGAAGCAGTTATGAAAGGATTTAAGCCTGAAAATGTGCCTGTTTTTGAAAGTTTAGTTAGAGAATTTGCTGTTTTTGATAGATGGTTTTCTTCAATTCCTGGACCAACTCAACCAAACAGATTATTTGTTTATTCTGGAACATCACATGGTGCTGTTAGTCATGTGAAGAAACAGTTGGCTCTTGGATACCCACAAAAAACTATTTTTGATTCATTGCATGAAAATAATTTGGATTTTGGGATTTATTTTCAGGCAATTTCAAGTACTTTGTTTTATAGGAATTTGAGAAAGTTGAAGTATGTTTTCAAATTTCATCTCTATGATACTTTCAAGAAGCATGCTAATGATGGTAAACTCCCCAGCTTATCTGTTATTGAACCCAGGTACTCCACTATTACTCTTTATGTTTCTTTCATTTATTATTATGTACTTTGTTGGTGCTGTATATAATTAATTATTGCGTGGTCCAAGACCGACTAATGATACACTTGTTAATTAACTCATAACATAATGAGTAACTACTAACTAGGCAATTGTTATGGAGTAATATTAGTAACTAGAAGTACCAACGAAAATTTGCTATTGTCTTATAGAACAACTTAATAAGAATAGTTGTTGACAAAGACTTTCTTGAATTCTTTGCCTATCTATACAGAGTTCATATTAAGTGTCAAATATTTAATTATTAACATTGTAATTTTATGTCGAGCTATTATTATTTATTAATTAATTATTTTAGAACCTTAGATATAACATAGTGGTCTTGGACCGTGCAATAATAATAATAACATCGACTTTGGCACTATTAATTAACTAACTTGAGAGTTTTGTACTGTACTAAAGATTAACTTTACAATAATAATGGGTATGAAAATTTTGGTACAGATATTTCGATACGAAAGGAATGCCAGCAAACGACGACCATCCATCACATGATGTAGCAAATGGACAAAAACTAGTGAAGGAAGTGTATGAAACACTAAGAGCAAGTCCACAATGGAATCAAAGTCTTTTGGTTATAACATATGATGAACATGGTGGGTTTTATGATCATGTACAAACACCTTACATCAATGTACCTAGCCCCGACGGCAACACTGCTCCTCCCCCGAGTTTCTTCAAGTTCGATAGGCTCGGTGTTCGTGTTCCTACTATTATGGTCTCCCCTTGGATCAACAAAGGAACTGGTACGTACTATTTTAAACTTCGTATTCGTTAATCATAATTTTATTTTTTTTATTCGCAAAATTAGTTTAAGTTTCGTTTAATATTATTACTCCGTATTATTATTCATACTCTCTAGCATGGACAATTTTGTGTATGAGACGGAAAATGTCATTTTATTTTTACATAAGATGCATTAAATATATCATGACTGCCACCCTTAGAAGCACATACACATGTTTTCTTTCCCTCTTTATAAAATTATAGAAATATTTTAAGAGTATGAACTTGTGAAATTCTGTGTTTACCAAGTTGTAAAATTTGTAATTACATGAAAGTTAGGTAGTCGTATATTGTTGTGCTTTTTGTTTGGTCTCATTTCTGTGTGAAATGGGATTGGATTGGATTGCCTTTTTTTTTTTTTTTTTTTTTTGTGGTATTGGCAGAATTATTGATTACTTATTTGGTCGGTAGTGGACTCTTTTGTGAAACTTTTTTGGCTAGTTGCACCGACAACATGCTAAATCAATGCTTTTCATTTTCATAAAGGCTGTGATTGCGGATACTACTATGCCTTTATGCATACATCAGCGATACTCCATCCGTTCCGCTAAGATTATCTCTATAACAATAATGATTAAATGACGTATCATTTAATTTTCCATATATTTAATATTGTATTTTTGCCAATTAACAATCCATGTGTTAATCTAAATAACTAACTCTTAAAAAAGTAATAAATTTAATGTTGTATTTGAAAAAGTAATAAGGAAAATACATGGGACAATCTTAGTGGGACGGAGGGTGTATACTTCATCGGGTTTTAGTTTGATAAAATTGTGTGTTAGACTAAAGTAAATTTCAAGTTGACACATTGGTTGTGTTGTTTAATATGTTTCGGGTTGCAGGGTATGTTTTTAATTCAGGATGCCCATCCTGCTGATAAATGGTTGTAATCTATACAATAAGCTCCCTAGCCATTAGCCAACCTACTTGAGCAAGAGCTGAAAACAAGTATCTTGACACCATAGTAGGAGGTCAATAGTCTAAATCTCATCTTCAAAAAATTCCTAAGTAAACGTAGTCACTTCAACCGATTTTGATAGTTACATTATATGAGTACATGGAACAAACACGAAATAGATGTAGTACAAACAACTTTGTTAGTCCCAATCGATATGAGCTCGACACAGTACGTCTTCAAGGTTAACAATGACAAATCGACAGGGTGGTAGAATACTCCTACTGACAATTTGACACCATACGTCCATACATTATGAGGCCTAGGGATGACTTTGTCTTCCTTTTTTTTTACACTTCCTAGTTATGCTGTACCAACCCATGTGTTGGGGGACAATCCTTTGGTTGAGATTTGATGATGGTTGATTCAGGACTATTACTTGAAATTAAATGCGATTTTAATCATAACATGTAATCAGCATATTTTCATGTGGATCTGCTCTACTTATTCTGGCATATGTTCGTAATTACTACTTCAGTCGGGATTTAGTTGTCATGTTACTAGTTTAAATTACAATAACAATGTGACAGTTAACAGTAAAAGTAGCTAAGGGTGTACGTATTTAACGTTTTTGTTCAGCTGTTTAATGCAGATGCTGTTGTTTTATACAGTGATAAGTAAACCAAATGGACCAACACCAGATTCCGAGTTCGAGCACTCTTCAATCCCAGCTACCATTAAGAAAATATTCAACCTCAACTCAAATTTCTTGACTCACAGGGATGAATGGGCGGGTACTTTTGAGGGCGTTATTGGGAATTTAACTTCTCCCAGAACTGATTGCCCACGTAAGTTATATACTCCTTCCGTTCAGAATTAATAGTCCGTTACAGAACATACTAGTTTATGATGTCCGAAAAAATCAACTTTGCTTGAAATAGTGATCATTTTACTCTGCTGTTTCTTATAGAGTTTCTTAGAACTAATTGTCCGTTACATAGCATACTAGTTTATGATGTCCGAAAAAATCAACTTTACATTGTAATAGTGATCATTTTACTCTGCTGTTTCTTATAGAGTTTCTGCCTGACGTAACTCCACTGAGGAAGACCGAAGCAGACGAAGAGAGGCAGCTATCACAGTTTCAGACCGAAATAGTTCAGTTAGCAGCTGTGCTGAATGGTGACCATTTCTTGAGCAGTTTCCCTAATGAAATGGCGGATAAAATGAATGTAAAGGAAGCTCACGAGTACGTAACAGGTGCTGTATCACGGTTTCTTCGAGCTGGGAAAGAGGCAGTTAAGCTTGGGGCTGATGAATCCACCATTGTAAATATGAGGGCTTCCCTCACTACTAGATCCTCTGTTCATCATTAAGGAATAATAATCTTAGTATACACAGTTTAAGGGTAGCCATAGTGCTAAGTAATATGGTTTACCTTTAATTAGAGGCCTTCCTAGAAAAAAGAAATGCTTGGAAATTAAATAACTTGGTAGTTTTAGTTGCGTGCTTGAGTAATTAGTAATTCTCCATCCGTCCCTTAAAAATTAACCTTTCATTTTTTATTTGACTTTAACAGTAATTATTTTGAGTGAGTAGGTAATGTTGCTGTTTAGCTGTAGGATAATTACAAAAGTAGAGAGAAATGTGAGGAACATGTTAATTAAAAAAGAATTGGAAATACATTTAGCTAGGAGTGCTAGTTTGGTGTTTGATTTGGATTACGGTACCAACCAAAATAATTTGATTTTGGTTTTTAATTTTCAAATTGAATCCTAACCCAAATAGTTTGATTTTGGTTTTTCTAAACCTATTTGGGGCTGGATCTAATCCAAGTTGTGATTTAAAAAGTTAACTAGTGTATGGCCCAAACAATGCCCTAGGTTGCTAGTTTGTACTTGTTTAGTTTGCTAATGATGTTCGACTTTTTTTCTTACTGTTTTAATAATTATCTTGAAATTTCAGAATTTGAAAAAAGATTTGTATTGAGAATCATATTTAATATTTGATATGTTATATTTAACAGAGAAATAAAATTATTATTTTTCATCAAATTGAAAAACAATATAGAGTATCCCTTTTTTAACTTTTTTTAATTAGTCCTTATGATTTGCAATTATATATACTTATATTTTTTCAAATTTATAACACGGATGCTAATTGATTTAGATGGTTAAATAATCATCTTTCCGATAAGAGGTTGGGTATCTTTTGCTTGTATATGGAGTATTTTAAATTCTTATAATATTTGTATTTTTAATTTAAAATTAGTTGTATCGAGAAATTCCAAATTTCTTAACATGAGAAACAAACTATGTTTTATTTAAAAAAGAAAAAAAAAACTAACAAATTTTACAACTCGTAAATAAATGCTATATTTTTAGTTTCCATTTTTTTAAAAAAAAAAAATTGTATATGATGGCCTCTTATTATTGCACTTTCGAGGTGGATTTTTTTTAACCATATATGCAGTGACCTTCTACTTTTGCATATAATTACATCTCAAATGTGCCCTTATTTGTGTGTTATAGCGCTAGCCTATCACTAAAATGAAATTATTAATCCATTCATTCTTATAAATCTTTTCATTTGAAATTTTGGCATCAATCAATCAATAATCATCAATAATAATATAATATATACTAAAAGACACACCAGCAATGACACGTGTTATCTCCTGTCGCGTCCTTAGTTATATAATTTATTTATTTTTCCAAAAAATAAATCTAATTAAGGAAACAAATCATTTACAAAAATAATATTATTTTTTATGCATATTCCATATTAACACGTAGTAATTATTATATTTAAAATTAAAATATTTCACAAATTTGTCTAAAAAAAAATTGGACAATTATAAACCAAAATCATATTTTTAAAATAATTTTTGACCTGTTTTACAATAAGAAAAAATATTGCTCAGAATTTTTGCCTAACTTTATTTTAGTTGTGTATTGGAAACTACAATTAAAAATTGCAAATACCAAATCAACATATCACAAACTTTTATGATTCCCCGACTAATTTATGATTATAATACTTCTCAATCAATAATTTATAACTATATTTAACTATAGATCACCGTGCATGGCACGGGATCTAACCTAGTAATAATTATATACTAAAAGACATACCAAAAATGACATGTGTCATTTTCTCTTTCTTTTTTTTTTTGTTTTTTTTAGGAAACAAATCTTATACGAAGTACATAAATAAAAGATTTAATGTATCATTCCACAATATATATTGAGGGGAAATACATGTTTATCAATATGATAAACAAAATCTGTTTATCTAAGGGTATAATAGTTAATATTTGTATTTATTTATGGGTAACTTTGTAATTTTGGGGATAGAAGAGGTTAATGAAGTTAATGGAAAATGGGGGATTCAAAGTGCTTTAATGGAGAAATTAGTAGATGCAATAGAGCAAATCGAGCTCACGAACTACATCAATAGAGGAAGACGAAAAGTCGTACCCTCTGGAGTTAACCATACCCTTCATTTCTCCATTTCTTTTAGGATTTTCGTTTAATTCGATGGCGAAGCCGCCGAAAATAAGGTAGTGGAGATGGTGGGTCATCACGAGGAGGAAGCTTCAACGATCCATTTCCATGGCGGAAGAAGCTTCAATAATGGAGTAAAAAGCTTCAAACAGCGTCGGCATGGTAGGTCACGAGGAAGAAGCTTCAATAATAGTGATGAGTTGGCATATTTCACTGTTCTTAATATTTACAATTGAACCATTTGATAAACATAATACGTTTATCTAATTGATAAAGTGGGATAGCCCCATTGATTGATACCATAAACTTAGGTAAAAAAAAAAATATCAAATTTTTAACATAATTTGTGACTTAAATTTACAGGTTAAATATATATTGTTAAGATATTCATTTGGTTACAAGATGATAAAGATATAAATTTGTTGGTGAAATATATATAAATATACATACATATGTATTTTAAAATAACTTTTTATTTTTATTTTTTACTAATAATAGACTCTTTCATAATAAATTCATTTTACGAATTAATAACTTAGTCAGAATTATTGTTTAATAGACTCTTTCAATTTGTTTTTATAATAATATCCAACTAAATTTACTTCCTCCGTTTCTTTTTAGTTGCATCACTTTCCTTTTAGTTAATAAACTCTCTTTATCTTTGCATCAAATAAAAATAAACTCTCTTTATCTCTCTTCCATCACATGATACCATTTTTTTATTAGTCCGCAAATTGCAAAGTGATGCAACTTAAAAACGGAGAAAGTATTTAAAAGTAGAAGAACTTTTAAGAATGGATGTCATATACCATACAATCAGTTGTACCTTATACATGTGTTTATGAAATAGCCGATATATAAATAATTAGGGAAATCGAATATCCTAAATTTCATATTAGATGAACAAAATCTAATTTCTTCCACCCCATGTTCCCGGGACTATAATCTACAGACTACAGTATCACTGAATGGCAATGTTTATTTTTACACATTTCAATTTAGTAATGTGAGCAGAAATTAGAGAAAATTTGTTGATTTAATTTAATTTTCAAGCTTATCTTGTTATATTTAGGAGGCTCGGTGGTTGCACTTGGTTACTTGTATTATTGAAGCCAAAGTGAAGAGCCTTAATCAAGCTATTTACCCCTCTTTTCTCGACTTCCGACCTCCTTTTCTCTCCTCGCGCAGCCGCCGGCAATTTCGTTGCAACAATCTCCCCGCCTTTCTCAAGGTTAATCTTTTTCTTATTTATCTGTTTTAACTGTATTTGATTCTAAACTATTCAATTTCTTGATATCAATTTATATGTTTTTCTTTTTTGTAATTTTTCTAAGTATACAAGGGATTCAATTGTTGATTTAGGAGAATATTGGGTATTTTGTCTGATGAATTATGATTTTGCTTTTGTTCATCACCGATTGAATTTTTTGGGTATAGGGTTTTCAATTTCTTATATTTGATGCTGTGAAGGTATTTCTAAATTAGGGTTAAGATTAGGGTTAAGATTAGGGTTTTGGTGCTGGCTTTCTATATGAATGATTAAAGATGTTCAAGTTTCAGGTTTTCTAGTATGATGTTATTTAGATTACTGGAAAAAAAAAATCGAGAAATTAGTTTGTTGATTGTTTGGATAATTGTGAGATTGTGGAATGTATTAACCTTTTAATTATTTTAGTTAACCTGCAGAGATTGTTGAATGAGAAGGGGAATTTGATTTTTTCCTTGTAGTCTGTTGTTATTCATAACAATGCCTATATTCCCTGTTATGGGTTTTCGGTTGGAAAGGTTGATTCTTTAAGCACAGGCTTGATTACGCGTCTTAGTGGATCGAGAAAGTGGAAATGGTTTGGAGACGAAGATGAAGGAATTTATATTGGATTACTGAATGATCTTTCCTGTTTCCTATAATCAGTAATTAGAAGCATATACATTAACTTCTTACTCTTTAGTTGATGGAAAGTTCCTTCATTGCTTTCATGTCCTATAGATCAGTAATTTAGGAGCATGTATTCTCTTTGATTTCATACTCTTTAGTTGATGTAAATTTTGATTAAATTTTCTTAATTGCGATGATTGTTTTTGGTGATGTTTGTAATGTAATGTAATGTAATGATATCGTGGTTGTACTGGGTAGCTTAGTAGTCGTAGTTCTATCATTTTATGAGTTTGTAGATTTGGGTATGACGGTATGTCTAGTTTCTTTTTATTGCACGTAATCTATGGAAAAATGCAGGAGCTTGCTTTATTAAAGAAGCATGTTTGTGATTCTAAATCGTAAGTCTGTCTTTCTTTATGCAGATTTAGCTGTGCCTGACTCCACTGACTGGATAGCATGAACAATTTTTGATCTGTTTGGGTTGTTGAGAGTAGAAGTTTTGAGACTATACTTTTGTTTCCTTCTTTGTAAGGACTGAGATGTGCTCATAGCCTTGACATTTTCCATCAAAATAGAAGCGATGGATCAAGGGTTTCTGGTGATGCTGACAAACCTGCTTCACTTACAGAACCACTTGGACCCCTCCTCCTCCCTCTTCTCTTCTGATGCCGCCTCCTTATCAGCCTCCACTACAACCTCTCTTTCCTCTCTCCTCACCTCCTCCTCTGCCGCTCCTCTTCTCTTCTTCACAATTGCCTCAGTTCTCTCCTTTGTTGCTGCCTCTCGTCCATCTTCTTCCTCTTCCTCCCGTTCTCCATCTCGCTCTCGCTCATCTTCCCCTTCGGATCACTCCCTCTCTGCCTTCCGAGCCTTATCTACTGAGCTAATATGGTCTATGGACCCCCCTGTCCGTGATGCACAGTGGCGCTCTTCCTATGGCCTCTCCTACCCTGTCTTCACTACTGTTGTTGATAAGCTCAAGCCTCACATAGCCCAGTCCAATCTCTCCCTTCCCCCTGATTATGCTGTTGCCATGGTTCTCTCCCGCCTCACTCATGGGCTCTCTGCTAAAACCCTTGCCAAGCGCCATTCCTTGGACCCTTACCTTGTTTCCAAAATTACCAACATGGTCACCCGTCTCCTCTCTACCAAACTTTACCCTGAGTTCATTAAGATCCCTGCTGGTCGCCGACGCCTCCATGAGACCACCCAGGCCTTTGAGGAGCTCACGTTGCTGCCTAATGTGTGCGGTGCAATTGATTCCACCCCTGTCAAGCTCCATCGCCTTCCTACTGATGTCAGTGACCCTTCATCTTATCATTGTCGATATGGGTACCCTGCCATACAGCTCCAGGTGGTGGCTGACCATAAGAAGATCTTCTGGGATGTTTGTGTCAAGGCTCCAGGGAGTGTTGATGATTCCACTCATTTCAGGGATAGTGTTCTCTACAATAAGCTCATGTCTGGTGATGTTGTCTGGGATAAAGTTGTCAATGTGAGGGGACATCCTGTTAGGCCCTACATTGTTGGGGATTGGTGTTTTCCATTGCTCTCTTTCCTGCTGACCCCATTTTCTGGAACTGGTAGAGGCACCCCTGCCCAAAATATATTCAATGCTGCTCTGATGAAGGCCAGGTCAGCCTCAGTGGAGGCAATAGGGCTTCTCAAAGGGAGGTGGAAAATTTTGCAGGATCTTAATGTGGGCCTTCATCATGCTCCTCAAACCATTGTGGCCTGTTGTGTGTTGCATAATTTGTGTCAGATCGCAAGGGAACCTGAGCCTGAACTTTTTAAGGAGCCTGAGGAGAACGGGTCTCCTCCTAGGGTCTTGGAGAGTGAGAGATCATTCTACTATTATGGTGAGAGCTTGAGGCAGATATTGGCTGATGATTTGCAGCAACGTATGTCATCTCGATGAAACCTAAAGCTCGTAAGAGTTAGATTGTATGCTGTTAGAGTTGATATACTAATTTGATAATAAGGATAGCTTGGGGGTTTTAGATGGCAGAGGATTAAATATCCTTTCTCAAAGTAATCTGTCACTTTCAGCATGATTTGTAGTTTAGTTTTTAAATTCATCCATTTTTTGTACCGAATTTTTAATGTAATTTATGAGAAGAAAGCAATATGAAGTCTGATTGAACTGATACATCACCTGTAACATCACTTGAGTGATAACAAACTGGAAGCTTTTGACCTTCAGAATTTTGCATGAATATATATATGCTTTATTTATGCATTTCGTAAATTTACTCAGTGTGCCATGATTTTTAAGTTTTCTCAACATTGTCTTTTCACTCTTTCAGTAGTTCAGCAGAGTATTACTAATCATTTCGACTCGATTTCTAGCATTGTAGCTTTACAGATGTATTATCACAAGTCACAACATTCTAGAAACATTTCAGTGAAACTAAAGTGCCTTTCTTTGCTATAGGATGTCTATTTCAGTTATCTCTGTAATGCTGTCTTCTTTCAGAGTCAATTTTTTTGTTGTTGCTTTACCTTGATGAGTTATGGGAAAAATATTTTTTTCCTGTCTAGATCTTTCTTTCAGAGCTCTTCCTGTATCTTGGAAAAAAAAACTGTGACCTCTCACGGTGTATGTTCTTTCTTCACATCTATGATCAGGGTAAGAATTTATTCAAGACATTGTTTTCTGCTGTACTTGTTTTTTGTTAATAAATTAGAGTATTATCAGACATCCTGTTCTGTTATTATTCGGTTCTACTCTATCAAGAACTTGGAACATTTTTTATTTTGAAAAATGAATTTTCAAGGAAAATTTTATGTTACCACCTCAAAAAACCCTGGTTTTTTTTAATTAACCCCCTGTTCTAATTTTTATTTAGAAATACAAAAAAATTGATTATACCACCGCTTACGAGTTAAGAGTTTCCATCAAGAACATTGTTTGCAACAACATTTCAGCCTTTAAAAATTAGTTTCTCGATCTGCATATTGAAATATTGCTCTAATAAACTTTTTGGGATTAAAGGTCACAAAAAGTTTCTTAAAATCTCTGTTTTGTGTGTCAAGAGTGTCTCAGGTCAAGAAATTTATTCGGTTAAAGTTTAAGAGGTCATTTTGGCTAGTTTTACCAAGGAAAAATTGACCAAAATAATCCAAACTTTGTCTCATTCGTCCAAAATAATCCAACTTTGGATTATTTTTTAATAATTCGAATTTTGATGTGAATTTGCTTCTAATAGTCCCAATCGGTCATCTACTTGTTATCATAAGTTATCTGACACGTTTCAATATATGACTGGTTCAAAAAAATAAAAATAAATTAAATTAAATTAAAAATAAAATTTTAAAAAATTAGTAGAATATTTAGTTAATCCTCAACCCTTTAAAAGTTTCACCTCCCCCCTTTATGAATAGTATCCACATGTGTGGGGTGCATGTGCGGGAAAGCTGACGTGTTTATTTTTCTTTTTCTTTTTTTTCTTTTTTTTTGTTCATTTTTTTTAAGTAAACTATCACCCGTGAGTGGTGAGCGTGACCCTTCTCTGAGCTTCCTCCCTCCTCTCTCCTCCCTCAGCTTCCTGCCTTCCTCCTTGGCTCTCTCCTCTTTAATTATCTTGCAAGAGCTAAAATGTATGTGTTGCCACTAAGAGTTTTGTGATCCTCTCAAGGTAGACTAAAGTATTGTTTTTTTTTTTAATTATAAAATTTAATCTAGAATTTGAAAAACCCTAATGGTCTGCTTGGATATAGGTAATTCATTTCAAATAATGGATTTGGCCCAAATTACTTGTTTGGGAATCCAATGAATTTGGATTTGGAATTGGGACAATTCCCAGCAATTTACTAAACAAGCTAACTTGAATTTGGAAATGACAAAATAAAAGAAGTCATTTCAAATTCCACTGACTTCAACTTTCCTCTGTTGAAACAAAGTGTGTTCTCGGTGTGAAAATCACAAAGTCCCACGTTGGTGGGAAATGAAAGTTTTTCCTTTTTTATAATGTAGAATGTGGTATACTTGGGTGTGGCCCAAGAGCTACCCACACTTTGTTGACAGGGAAGACTTACCTAACACGCACGTGCCGAGTCGAGCCAAGCTGGGCTGGGCTGGGTCAGGTTTATTAAACAAACTTAATTTTTATACAGTTTTTGAACAAGGTTTAATTACGGAATATTGCCTTAATAATTCCTTAATTAAAGCCTTGATTGTTGCTGATTGATTACTGCCGTATTAATTTATTCCGTTTTACAATCTTTCCATTTATTATCTTACCGTTTTAAGCAGATTTTATTCTCACTTAATTGTGCTAAAACGGTTGCTGCTTTAATGTTGTTTTTTTAATTCTTTGCTTGAAACGTTCAAATCAGCTGGCCTATATATACGGCATTCTTCAGCATTTCAAAATACAGAAAATTATTTTCTAATCTTCTTCCTCCTAAAATACAGAATTTGAGAAATTTTCTTACAATTTTGGTGTTTAGTTTGTCCAGTGGTTTTGTGCAAATCCATCGTTATATTTTTATTTTGAGAGACTGTTTTATCTAGGGGAGCATCCAGTTGTGGTTCGATCAAATTAGAGGCAGTATTGTGAATGTTCTAAAGAAAGCGACATAGTTCGCGACTCAGTCTTATTCCCGGTAACATTGTTCTTATTATTTTTGTTCCTGCAGTTCCGTTTCTAACAATTTTAGAACATTTCTTTTCTGCCTTCGTGAATATTATGTCTACCGAAAAAATGACTATGTCCAACGACCTCAACAAATCCTTCCGTTTTGAAGGTGCTCACTTTAAAAGGTGGAAACAAAAAATGCAATTTTTCTTGACTGTTAAAAAGGTTCATTTTGTATTAACTGTTCCTAGGCCTGTTATTCCTGATAATGCTGATGAAGATGAAATAGTTTATCTGAATAGTGAAATTGAAACCTGGAATGAAACTGATTTTATGTGTAAGAATTATATTCTTAATGGTTTGTGTGATAACTTGTACGATTATTACAGCATGGAAAATTTTGCTAAGGATTTGTGGGAGGCCCTGCAAAAGAAATATGATACTGAAGAAGCTGGTGCCAAAAAGTATGCTGTCAGTATGTACCTGAAGTTTCAGATGCAGATGACAAATCTGTTGCAGTGCAATCTCATGAACTTCAGAAAATTGCACATGAGATGATTTCCGAAGGTATGGCTCTAGATGAACAATTTCAAATTGCTGTTATTATTGACAAACTGTCTCCTTCTTAAAAAAATTTCAAAAAAAATCTCAGGCACAAGACTAAGGAATTCTCCTTGGAGAGTTTGATCACTCGGCTTCGTATAGAAGAAGAATCTAGGAAACAGGACCAGAAGGAAGAAATCTTACAGGTCACTGCGAACAATGCTCCTAAGCGATCTGCTGCAGTACTCAAGCCTACTGGTAAGAATTTCAAACCTCAGAACCGAAAGAATAACTCCAACAGAAACAAATAGAATGTTCAAAAGAACAATGGACAACAACAGTCTCATCCCCTAAGAATGGTTCTGGTCAATTTATATGCTATAGGTGTGGAAAACTAGGCCATATGGCACGAAAGTGCATAAACATGCCTAACCCTACCTGCGCAGGCAAGCATGATTGAAGAGCCTCTTGTGGCTATGATTACTGAGATCAACCTTATTGGTAGATCAGATGGGTGGTGGGTAGACATTGGTGCTACATACATGCCATGTCTGCTATGATCGTCGGACGTTTAAAACATACACTGAAAAGACCGATGATAAGAAAGTGTTGTTGGGTGATTCCCATTCCACTAATGTTGCTGGTATTGGAAATGTTGAGTTAGAAGTTTACTTCTGGCAGGACTCTCATTCTGAATGATGTATTACACACTCCGGAAATGAGAAAGAATTTTGTTTCTGGTTTTCTTCTTAATAAGGCTGGTTTTACACAAACCATAGATTATGATTTGTTTACTTTGACTAAGAATGGAATGTTTGTAGGAAAAGGATATGCTACTGATGGTATGTTTAAATTGACTGTTGAGATTAATGAAATTTCTGATTCTGCTTATATGTTGTGTTCCACTATTAATGTTTGGCATGCTAGACTTTGTCATGTGAACAAAAGACTCATAAAAAATATGAGCAATTTAGGCCTTATTCCTAATATTTCTTTTAATGATTTTGACAAATGTGAATTTTGCAGTCAGGCTAAAACTACGAAAACACCTCATAAGTCGGTTTGAGAAATTTAGAACCATTAGACTTAATTCATTATGATATTTGTGAGTTTGACGGAAAGTTGACCAGAAATGGACAATGATATTTTATCACTTTTATTGATGATTGTTCTGATTATACTTGTGTTTATCTGATGAAAAATAAAAGTGATGCTTTTGAAATGTTTAAGTTGTTTGTGACAGAATTTGAGAATCAGTTTAACAAGAAGATAAAAAGGTTACGAAGTGATCTTGGAACTGAGTATGCAATGGTACTAATACTTTTATAAAATTTTATAATTCACATGGTATCATACATGAAAGATATGCCCCTCATTCTCCAGAGATGAATGGTAAGGCTGAAAGAAAAAATAGAACTTTTACTGAGTTAGTAGTTGCTATATCCTTAAATTCTGGTGCTGCTAATCATTGGTGGGGTGAAATCCTTCTTACTATTTGTATGTCTTGAACCGTGTTCCAAAGACTAAGAGTAAGGTTTCTCCTTATGAAATTCTTCGTAACAAACAACCTAATATTTCTTATTTTAAAACTTGGGGTTGTCTAGCATATGTTAGGATTCCTGATCCTAAAAGAGCTAAGTTAGCTAGTAGAGCTTATGAATGTGTATTCATCGGCTATGCTGTAAATAGTAAAGCATATAGATTCTTTGATTTAAATGCATGTGTAATTATTGAATCTAATGATGCTGAATTTTATGAGGACAAGTTTCCTTTTAAATCTAGAAATAGTGGGGGTTCGTCCTCCTTTATTATTCCAGAAGTTAGGTCTAATTCACAAGACTTAGATGCTGAACCCGAACTAAGAAGGAGCAAACGGGCTAGAGTAGAAAAAGACTTTGGCCCGGACTTTGAAGTTCTTAATGTAGAGGAGGATCCATCTACCCTCCAAGAAGCCCTAGCTTCAGTTGATGTAGACTCATGGCAAGAAGTCGTAAATGACGAAATGGACACACTTGAGTCTAATCGAACTTGGCACCTAACTGAGTTGCCACCATGTTGCAAGACAATAGGCTGCAAATGGGT